ATCAAACCGTCAAAACCAACTCTTACCAAACTATATATAGATATATCTCTAACTTATATATCTATAAAACCTTACACCCATACATACCCATCCCGATCGATCCTTATAGATCCTATTCCATGATTATCAAGGAGAATTATCTCACCTATTGAATCGTTTATAGCAAGGGTTTGACTACACAACTAGGGGATTCCTTGGCCGATGTAAACCATAGAGGCGCTCGAGCCATCAGAGTATTTGATGAATATGGTATCCCATTTCATCTACATTTTTGGGTTATGAGCCCACCCTAGCAACCTAAATCACAAGACCGTCTAGAATGATCAAGTGTTGTCATCTTATTTTGGGAGATGACCAGACATACCGTTACAGTTGCCTGATATGGACCCATAATTTCTGGTCATCCAAAAGGAATACTATAATGTACTTAAGTACGTAATTCGTTCATCGACACCTGAAAGTGTCACGGAATAGAACTATACTCTCTGTTCCTATCACACATATCCTTGAAATGAGACTACCCAATATCAAATTTAATTGGAATAAGCCTCCTTTATAAGTCTAAGTTTAGACACTAGACTATATTACAATTATTGTGGTTATCACAAATTTTCCTACCTATGTAATACTTTTACAATAAATGGTATAACTCGAACTACACATCATGTGTAATTATTATCTCATTAATAGGCAAGACTACAAGGCTTATATTTTAACTTCAAACACCAACTCTATTTAGGTAACAATATCCTAATTTAGTGTATATATTTAACACGGAGCATTTAGGTATTAATATACTTTTATCTTTCTCATAAATAATACTTATTATTATTATTATTATTATTATTATTATTATTATTATTATTATCATGTAATAATATCAAATATGCATCTTAGCACACATAAAACCATATTTGGTTCGTACATAGCACATTTGTAACAACCCATTTTCACCATTCAGTAGGATTTAATATAAACATTTGTTTATATAATTCGAAGTAGAAATATATTATTTTTTAGCCAAATTAATCATCATAAACCTATAGGAAATGTCAATACAATTTCTGTAGATCTATAGAAAGCTCGAAACTGACTTCGTATGGAGAAGTTATGATTGTTCAAAGTTTTGCGTTGAACCCTATACGGAAAAATGCATCGTAAAATATGAATCAGGGATAGGGTGATTATTAGCCTTAGTGATCTAAATGAAAGTGGTAGTAATCGTAAAAGCGAGAGCGTGCATATAGAGAACGTCCAAATCTGACTTCGTATGAGGAAGTTACGATTTTTTGAAGTTTCAGAACATCAATGTGCGACACTGAAATCAAAATGGAAATCAGTGGATTTTTAGCCGAAACAATCTAAACGAGATTTGAAGATCTCATAGATACAACTTCGTCAATATAAAGATTGTCGAGAACAGAATTCGTATGGACGAGTTATGATTTTTATACGGACTTTAATAGTGTAAGCCTGTTAAAAATATAACTTTAAAAATAAAATGATAATTCGCCGACAAAGTCTAAATGAAAGTTATAGTACTCTTCGATAGCTACACGTGGATATAAATAATGTGGAAAACATACCTCGTATGAGAAAGATATGATTTTTCTAAATTTTTTTCGAAAAGATCCTCGCGCAGGTAGGCGCGGCGCGCGCTTCAAGAAGTAGGGGGCGTGGTGTAACACCTAGTTTTAGGATGTTTCTAATATCAGGATAGTGTGTTGTAAATGGATCGAGTAAAGGTCTTGGGCTTCAAGGAAATAGAGTTAGACCCTTTCGGATGTTAATAATGTTGGATTGAGTGATTTAAGCCCTCGATTTGTGCTTTGAAGCAGAAGGGTAAAATGGGAAAAGGAATATTTGGGTTTCTTGCACGCATTATGGTTTTAGCTCGACATGTATTAAGTCAAAATTAATTATATAGAGTTTTAGGGCTCGACAATACCTTTCCGTGCATATAAAGATCGCCGAAAACGGAGTTGAAAGAAAGAAGTTATGATTTTTTGAAGTTGGAGTGGAATTGGGTGAAAACACATTGTCATGAGGTGACATGCATGTTGCCACGAGGTGACAAGCATGTTGTCACGACATGAGAGCTGTCACGAGGTGACAAACAGGTTGTCACAAGGTGAGCGTTGTGCAGCCCAAGCCCATGGTTTTTAGGGTTTTCAACGTATTTAAAGATAATGATTGATGTTTTTGTAACACCCAGAATCCAGAAGGCCAATTAAGGAAAGAAAAACCCCAAATCAAAAGGCAACTCGTCGAGTCCAAGAAGGAGAACTCGACGAGTAGGAACATATTTGGGACGCGGGTTGGGAAACCTACTCGACGAGTTGGAGGGACCAACTCGACGAGTTGGTATGGGTTTGGGAAACCCTAAATCCGAGTTTTTGTACCCTATTTAAGCATCCAATTCTCCACCTTTCAGCCTCCATTGTCCCAAACCCTAATTCACAAAACCCTAGAGCTTTATTTGAGAGTGTGAGCCATTTGGAGTGATC